ATCGGTACAATGTAACATAAAATCTTACCTTTTTTCTGAAGTCGTGTAACTTTTATCTTTTGAACGATGAAGAAGATCATTTTTGGTTTAACCTTTTTTATGTGCTATATTTACAAATTCTAATTTGTCAAAAGAAATGGCACACGATGAAATCAGGATTCTAGCAAAATAGCAACCTAATCCTACTGCTTATTTAATGATGGCGTACCATGATACTGTTCCTATCGGATCGCTACTCGAATTAGATCCTCCCTACCACTAATTACAGTTACCAACGCACGTGTTCCGCAGTTACTGCCACGAGCCGAAAATTGGATAAAACATGTGACTCTCGTGTGAACTACAACTTCGGGACGCGCGAAGGTAATGAAACGTACCCATCGGCCTAACTTTAATGCTTCGCTCGAGGGTAAAAAGCGTCGGTGAAAGCGCGAACTTCATCTCGTAAAAGCTGTAGTACAACAGAATCATTTCAGTGACCTACGATTAGCTCTAATTTTATGCTATCGTTCGGGGAAAAATGCGCAAAGTACAGTTAATCTTGAAAAGTACCTTTTTGCTACTGGAGCATTATTGAAGATAATTTATGCATGCTTCTGCGTTCACGTGCCACTTTAGAAACAAAAATGGACGATCGTTCTCTTTCTAAACTAAAAAGGTCTCTGCAGCAAAAGTCAAGGAAAAATATTTTTCACTTTTGTTCACACTTTATCTAGTTGTAATTACTGAATAATGGTTTAAAAAAATCTATGATTCACGACTGCAGATTCTCTGATAAACTTTTTCATTGTTGATCAAAATTCCAGTCGCTATACAAGAAGTTGGTTCAAGAAAATGACACGATCCTGGCAATTCTTTTAGAATTGTTGTTTAAAAAATTACTTTAAGCTTCTCTCTACCTTACAGATTTTGCACTTGAAATTTACACTTTCGTAGATCGCATTCACCTTTTCGCACTCCGAATTAATTCTTTCGTAGATCTTATTCACATTATTGCAAATGAAATGAACTCTTTGACAAGTTATATACACACGTTCGTAAATCAAATTCACCCTTTTGCAAGTGAAATTAATCTTTTCACAGATCACAATTGCCTATCTTTCATTCAATTTTTAAAATTTGATATGGATTTATATACTTATTTACAAAATAATACAAAAATCTCTACAAATAATCGATCTCGATTGACTTTGAAATAATTATTTATAAAATGTCATTGAATTTTGGAATTTCATACGAACTTAACGAAAGTAACCTGCAGCACACCTAGTGTCCTAATACAAGTGTCTCCCAATATATTTCCAATTCTCAGACTCTATAAAATAGCATTGTAAAGAATCGTCAGTCTTGTCGGAATCCCGTAAACTCTCAGTAAAAGTCGTTTATAATTCCTGAATCCAGTTCACCAAAGTTTGCAGCACTTGCTCAGTGAATACTAAGCGGGTATAAGCCATTCTCCAACGTCGAGGATAATAAATGAAAAACAATAAAGCTGCAAAACCTGCAAAATAATGATAAATTTTAAAAAATTAGACCAAACGACTTAACCATTTTCTGTAGTTTTAGAAAGATTGGTTAACCAGACAACGGATAACAAAATATTTGCAAAGCTGCGTTTGGTTGGAATGTCGAAAATGGTTAAAAAATGATGTCTCTTGGCTTTGTTTGTTCAAATTTTCGTAACGTGTTCCGATAGAAAAGAAGTCGAACAACGCCACTGCTCGATTATTTCTTCCGTTCCAATTGAAAACTAGAAACCGAACTAGTCTTTTTCGACAACGCCAGAACAAAATTCAGATCGTAGGATCGAATTTCAAAAAAGTTACTCGGTTTCGAATTGTGTACGCAGACTATTTTTTGCTGAATCTGGATAGAAAAGTTTACAGAGGGAACTGCGTAACTTTTCTGCGCCGTTATATAGGGTTTCAAGCGATATTGCTCGACGATCGAGTTGCACAATAACGAATAACAATAACGAAACTAACAATCATCCAACGATCGACGATTCGGAACCCGTTACGAGCACCTCTAGCCCCTGGAGTCCAACGCATAACGGCTAATAAACCAGCGCGTCTCCTAAAAAAGGCAATAAAAGTCCGTGGAAACAAGACGTTTAAGATCGCAGTGAACGTGTTCGTTTCACTCTCAGCCGGAACCATGGTCGTCGCGATCCAATCAACGGTCAGGCAGCTCCTTCTTGGCCCATGGGAGGCTTCCGCATACGAATAGCCGGCGAATCACGGCAGTCTGGCTGTCGATCCTCTCGATCCTCTCTCGATCACCGATCCCAGGAGCCGTCCGGATCCTTCGTCCGCGCGAGGGACAGCTGTCAGAGGGTGTCCAGGCCCCGGCTAATGGGCAATTTCATTGAGACCCGTCCGGTGCGCGTTCGTTTGTCATGGTTACCCATGGGCTGTTTGCCCGACTGGATTACGGTTTGCCCGCGTTTACGGCCTCCCTCGATCGCGTGTCTTGGGAGCCGCGCTCTTAATATTTCCATCAGCGGTCGTTTACCCCCGTGGAACGCGTACGCGCCGATTAGGGTAGCCTGGCATGAGCTTCGGGGTGCCTGGGGGCCTCGAGGTTCATAATTGAAGTTACTTGTTCAATCGTGTTAGTTGATTTGATATTAGCTTCCGGTTAATTCGAAACTACCGTCCGAGGCTTTTCGAATGATTGTCGTTGTTCACGATAATATTTGTATTAGATTAAGGACAGCTATTATTTATAGTAATGGGCTTGAAAAATTGGCGACCGGTTCGATAATTTGTCAAGCCCATTACTATAAATAATAGCCTTAATAGCTCCAAAGCAATTTGTCCAATGATTTAAACAAATGTTTCGAGAGGTAGAGAAAGTGTTGAACGATTTATTAAAATGTCTCGAATTTTTCTAAAAAAAAAGAAAGAATTTTTATATATATATAATGGATTCAATTTTTTAAAGAAATCTGTTTAGGAATTATCTGCGCAATCTCTTGATGAAATCGTCGATTATTCGATCTGATTTATGGTTTCGGTGAGAAACGTTGATGGATATGGCTGAATCACATTTTAAAGGGTGTAGAATTAAAGAAGTTAATTAAAAGGAACTGACAAAGAACTTAACTTAATGTGACTTAACGTCACCTACAAAACTCTGTAAAAGAGACTAACAGCCAAAATACAATTAATACGATCGGTGTATTTGTGTTTGATCCTCCGATCACTGATAATTATACCGCAAATCTTTTTACACTTTTTGCTATCTTTTTGCACCTTTGTACAGTATCTGTAAAATTGCAAAGTGCAAACCATGCTGCATATTAGCAAAAGTTGAATTTCTTTTGTGTCTCCTATGAGAAATGTTTCAGACAACGTAACATTTTGCTCCCTCCTTCGAAACATATATTTGAAGAAGAGCTATGAAAATTGAAATTTATACAAAAACCCACGGTAATAGATAATGATCGAGGATCGAAGGGTCCCGAGACACATTTGCCCTGAACCTTTTCGCGTAAATTTTTCTCACGCGAGATTCCGTATAAAGGAGTACTTTCGAAAGTTTCGGCGATTAATCCCGACCACTGGCTTTTTTCTGCGTGTACATGATTTAAACATCGACGCCTTGAACTCTCGCGAACGTGTCCGCGAAGGTCATCGGTGTATTTGCGCGAAAAGACTGGCTTAATAAAAGTTGGTCTATCAGCTGTCGCCGTGGTTTCAGCCACTTTCGAACTTCCGACATCCGGTGTACCGAATTTTACACCCCGTTCAAGCGTTCTCCGAACAAGTAAACTTCTCGAAAAGCCGCCGAAATCGTTCGAATAAAAGCGTCCAAGGTCGTGCCGTGAAATTCTGATACTCTCGATGCGCCAATACAGTTCGTTTCCGATGAGTTTATCAAGCGGCTCTATGCAACTTGATAGCTGTCCACGAAATTTGCATGCATACACGAATCGACATGATTTACAACCTGTCGATATCACGCTAATACAAAAGATAAATCGTATCCCGTCTAGAACGGGATCAAATCGGTTCAGTAACACTGTCCAATGCACGTTTGGATCTGAAACGGTGCGAGAAAGTTTGCGATTCGTGTTCGTAGACCGGCTATTCTACTCGAGAGAGTCCTCAGTATGCTTCTATAATAACTTCTTTTCTATTTCTTCCTTTTTTCTATGTTTACGTATTTTTCTTTCCTATTTTTACATTTTAATGTATTATTATTATTATTCTGTCTATCCTTCTTTCTGTATTTACTTTTTCCCTTTTTTCTTCCTCTGCTATCTTCACATTACTAAATTTGTACCTTCGTTGAGACTGATGTGTTTTATCACCTGTCTACAATAAATGATAATAGTAATAATAATAATTGTAATATCGCTCAATTAATAAAATATTTAATTGAATATAGATATTAATATATATATATATATATATATTAATAAATTAAAAAAATTATAATATCGCTGTCTTCGTTAACACTGTGCGAGAAAATAACAGGCACGAATTAAAAACTGAATTTGTACGCCGATGTATTAAATCTTCCGAAATCCGGAAAATATGAAAAAATTCTAGAACTGATTAATATCGTACACCTTGACCATTGAACGGTCAGGGCGGGTCAGTGACGGTCAACGCGTTAAAGCACCCGACGTCCTCCAAACAAATCTTGCAAATCCAGCTTATTTTAGGAAAAGCTGGAAAACATGGTTGACTTTTTTTTCGAACGGTCCAGCTGCTAAAGTTTGAAACTCCGCCGACGTTCCAAATATTATTTCGCGACAGAGGATTACTTACCGCGAGAATTCCCACTTCATCGCGACTCGAAATATCGCTGGTCTATTTATTTCAAGAGGTGGTTACTCGAGGTGGAAACCCTTCCATATAAAGCCAACGGGGTACTCGCCCAGCGTCCGGAGAAACATCTAATTATAATTTAATTACTGTTTCTAATTATACCACGGCCGCCGAAGGCGTGCTCGATCGACGAAACTGAGGATGAAGAGAAAAACGAAATCATAGCGTACTGTTACGGTTTTATTGCGCGGACAGTCTCTGTCGAACGGTGCGCACGTAAAATTGATCCACGATCACAGCAAAACGATATTCACGTAAATTAAGCATATAATTACACGCATTTCATCTTTCTTTCTTGCCAAGTTCGCATCGGACACGTTGCACGCGGGCCATTGTTTCGACGATGTCACTAGAACTGTTTCGGAAAGTCGTTCTATTATCAATATCCTATGAATGCTCATCGGCTCCAAGTTCCTCCAATATCTTCCAATCAAAAGACATTATTATGACAGAAATACGCTCTTTAACAAACGATACACGAAAAACGTATTAATACGTGTCCCGCATACAATGCGTCAGCATCGATGGAAAACGTTGTAGAAAATTAATGTAAACGATCGCACTGCGGAAATTTATGTCTCGTCGTCAAATTTAATCGTGTATTGTCGTCGGACAGATTGTAGGCAGAGTTCAACCCTTCGCAGTCATTAAATCAAACGTCATTAATAATCGCTATTTTACGTTCCAGATTGGTCTAGATTTATAGAAATTGCCAAAAATTCAGCTGCAATTCGGCGCGACTCCATCGCGTTTTCGAAATGTTGTCCTATAAGTTCGATCTTTGATAGGCAGGTGTAAAAGAAGCAAAAACGACGTCCACGTTTAGTAGAATCTGTCCGAAATTTTCATCACCGATTCGACGTTGCTTTATATTACAGCCGAGACGTTGGCAGACCCTCTGCTCAATTCGCCGAAAGTATGTTTGAAGTCGGCACAAAGTTCCGCGGCGCGATTATCGGCCCATGATCACGATTTATCCGCATCGTCCGCCTTCTTCTCATCCTCGTCGGTCTCGTCGTCGTCCAACGACAAATCCGAGCCCTCCTCCTCCCTCTGCACGATTGTTTTCTCGCCGTCCGATTCGTGCGATCGATCATTCCTTTTTTCTTTGCCCGCGTTCTCCGAGCTGCTCTTTCTCTCCGGCTGGTTATCGAACTTGTAATCGTCCTCCTCGACGACCTCGTAGTCCGCGTTGTCGGACCTGAAGTTTCAAAACGGAACGCATCGGTCGTAAACTGTTTATCGCGACGATTATCGTTCGCGAAAGTGGAACGAAAATTTCGGCACGGTGAATCGGTAATTCGCCGATCATCGTTCGACGCCGAAATGAAGCCGAGCCGCGCGTCGTTCTCATTTTACGGTGCTCGTTGCGGATCTCAGTCGTTTAGATCGTTACCGAGACTGTATACAATTCAAGATCACTTGTCGGTGCTACGCGAGATTTTACCGCCATTGAAAAAAAATTGCTCTAACGTTTTGCATGTCGCTTCGGGCAGCACGGAAGAAATCAGATCTTACGACGTAAGAGCCGTGTAGAGAATTTCATGGAAAATTGCTTTAATGTTCGCGTGTCGCTTTAGTCCGGGGGAAAAGATCGTATCTTACGAGATCTTAACCGGCAATCGTGTAAAACTTGAAATTAATTGTTGATGTACTAAATTATACCGCAAAGCGATCTCGGAAATGAGAGATTTCATGGACAATTGCTCTCATATTTGTATTTTGGTTCACGCTATAGGAAACAATTAGACTTCGTAACATTTTTATTGGGACTTTATACAACTCAAAATTATTTGTTGGTGCTATTTGACCGCAAAACCATTTCGGAAATTTCATGGAGAATTGCTTTAATGTTTGGATATCGCTTTAGTCCGGAGGAAAACATCGTATCTTACGAGATCTTAACCGGTAATCGTGTAAAACTTGAAATTAATTGTTGATGTATTAAATTATACCGCAAAGCGATCTTGGAAATGAGAGATTTCATGGACAGTTGCTTTCGCATTTGCATTTTGGTTCACGTTATAGGAAAGTCATATGTCAGACTTCGTGACATTTTTATCGGGACTTTATACAACTCAAAATTACTTGTTGGTGCTATTTGACCGCAAAACCATTTCGGAAATTTCATGGTGAATTGCTTCAATGTTTGGACCTCGCATTAGGCTAGACGAAAAGATCAGATCTTACGAAATCATTATCGATATCTGCTAAAACTCAAAATTACTTAGCTGTTACTTAGTTGTTATTGCACAAGAATTTCTTTAATAAAAAGCTGCTTTCATTTTTGCATGTCGCCTTAGGCTGCATGCGAGTGTCAAATCTTATCGCAAACCACCCGCATCGAGTGTTTAAATGATTCTGTTATGTCAACGACTTGTTACAGTGCACACTAGTTGCATCATGCCTGGTTGTATTTTTAGTCGCGTTGCAACAGAATTTATGAAGTGCGGAATCCTCATTTTTAAACATATTTCTCTATCATGGTCGAGACGAATTTGGTGTGGAGCGTTGATCGAATACTTTATGCAAAAATTGCGGACCTTCGTACATTTTTCTTCGGTAAAAGAAAGTTTCACCTCGTTCTGATGGTTAGGAAACATTATACCGAAATAGGAGTCCGAACGAATATCTATATTTTCTATATAGATTTTATTTCTATAATATTATAGTTATAGTAATTTCTATAATATCTATAATATTATATTATATATAGATTTTATTTCCATAATATTTTCTATATTAGAATAATTATTTTGTGAAAACGAGGTCAACTAGGTTTGATAATCATTCTAAACTTTGAGCGATCCGTGCATGATGGACAGATGGCATTTTTTTGAAGAACATTTTAAACAAATTTGAAATTCCGTCCAAATTGTCCATTTTTGTTTGCAAGCTGCATGAAAATTAGGGAGAATTTACTGGAAATAGATGACATCGGTACGTAGGCGAAGAATGAAATTACATTTCGAACAACCTAATAATCTTCCAACGATTCGATTTACTGATTAATTTAACGATACCTGCTGCGTCTTCTACCACGTTTGCGTCTACGAGATCTCCGCCTTCTGGACCGAGATCGCCGTCGCTTCCTTCGCGATCTTTGTCTTCTAGCATCTTGCACATCGTCGTCTGCCCATTTAATCGGAGACCGTTGAGGGCTTCCCTCCTTATCTTGTGAAACTGTATCTTCGAAGGTCCCGGTATCCCTTAAATAAGTGCCGTCGTGCACAAGATCCGACGAAACACGAACAATCCTGCCGCTATCGTCCACTGGAATTAGATAATTGGCTTCTATGCCGAAGCTGAGGGCCTTCTGGATGTACTTCTTCGTCTCGTTTGCTGCTGGAAAGCGAGAGAAGTGTCGTATAAATTTTTTGGTATAAATTTTCCGATCAGTTCTCCAAACAAGCGTCAGCGTTTCTTCGTTTCTGTTTCTATTTTCTAAATTGAAATTTTGCGAAAATTCTGATCGCTTGGAATATGCAAGAAAAGAAATCGGTTTCAAATTGTTTATACGAGCCTGTGAAGAACAATCGATTGACGCGGAGACCAGCTGCCGACATTTAACTATGTAAAAATCCCCAGATTTTCCACAATGATTAGTCGAGAGTTTTGAAAAATTGCATCTTTTGCTATCTTCGATTGTTTGTAACTCGTACAGGTGTAAACCGAGTAGATGCTCGACAGTATCATTATCAAATGAATAAACATTGAACAGCTTAAAATAATCGTATGAATTAAAATACAATTTGTTTCGCTAATGCGAAATAGAGCGTCTAATCGAATATTTTTTGAGAGGACGTTCAAATTTAGATAATAAAACAACTTGGAACCAGAAATAACAGCCTGGCAAAAAATATTCGGACACCTTCTAAAATGCGATAACTGTCTTAAAACTGGATACAACAAAAATAATACATTCCTTTTTGTCGTTACAAGTAACAAAAAATTTTTTTAAAAAAAGGTATTTTAGTTATTGTACAGTAAACTAACTCGTTTAACATATAAAAATCGAGTCGTTTAGACCAGTTTGAAAAAAGCTTTTGCGTTTTAAAATCTGTTCCAAAACTTTTCGCTTAGAAATCTTTTTAAAGCGTGTAAATCAAAGGCTAGGACAAACTTTTGACGAGGCTATAAAAGAAAAAGTGGGGAATAACAGAGACAATTTATCGGACTAGAAAATTTCGCAGACATTATGTTGTTTATTATTCATTCGCCGAAAGCCTGCGCAAAGAAAGTGGTCCTTCAATTTCAGTATTTCGCTGCAAATTTTCATGAAAAGTTCCGGTCGCAATGCGTCCCTTTTCTGTATCTATCGTAGCACCGACCTTCGAAATCGTAATTCCTCTCTTTTGGAAACTTTTCCTGTTCGGCAGTGCGCAGCGCTCCGCAATTCTTGCACGTTTTTCTCTGCTGGTTGACCGTGTTATTGGCGTTGGTGACTCGGGGGTGCAAGGAATTCCGTACTACTTTGCGATGCTTAGGTGATTGGGACCAAACGCTGTTAGGCTCGGACTCGGCCGTCTGGGGGCCTAGCCTGAGGTACTGGTAAACGAGCATGGCGATGTTTGGCTTACGGCTCCGCCCTTCTGTAACACAATCATTTTTGCGTCACCGAGCAGAACGACCTCTGTAACATTACGGTTCCTCGGCCGTCTACGTCAAAGCACCCGTGACCCCGCGTGTGTACACTTGCGAGAGACATTTACGCGCGGTCCTCCTAACCTTTACTTCCGAAGTTTCGTGGCAAGGCCAGTGGAAGCGTTGTCCACTGACTCGAGACGATTGACATTTTTTTTAAGGAAATTTTCAATGGGCCGGGTGATCAGGGTCGTGGGCTTTTTAATGCGAGCTTTTCAATGAAAATGTTGAACAAAAGTTGTACGTTCAAGATCGAACGAATATCGATGGTATTTCGGGTTCACGAAACTCATGGTTCGAATTATATGTGTTCGATGAAAATATTAAATAAGTTTTATACTTTTAATTCTCAAGCGTTTTTTATAATTGGAAGGTAATCCTCCCTTTTTCTTTAGACACTGAATTATACCAAATTTCGTTGTGCCTTCGTTGTGAAATGAATTGTTTGAAAACGTTGAACAAAAGTTGTACGTTCAAGATCGAACGAATATCGATGGTATTTCGGGTTCGCGAAACTCATGGTTCGAATTATATGTGTTCGATGAAAATATTAAATAAGTTTTATACTTTTAATTCTCAAGCGTTTTTTATAATTGGAAGATAATCCTCCCTTTTTCTTTAGATAATGAATTTCACCAAATTTCGTTGTGCCTTCGTTGTAAAATGAATTGTTTGAAAATGTTGAACAAAAGTTGTACGTTCAAGATCGAACGAATATCGATGGTATTTCGGGTTCGCGAAACTCATTGTTCGAATTATGCGTTCGATGAAAATATTAAATAAGTTTTATACTTCTAATTCTCAAGCATTCGTTATAATTGGAAGGTAATCCTCCCTTTTTCTTTAGATACTGAATTACACCAAATTTCGTTGTGCCTTCGTTGTGAAATGAATTGTTTGAAAATGTTGAACAAAAGTTGTACGTTCAAGATCGAACGAATATCGATGGTATTTCGGGTTCACGAAACTCATGGTTCGAATTATATGTGTTCGATGAAAATATTAAATAAGTTTTATACTTTTAATTCTCAAGCGTTTTTTATAATTGGAAGGTAATCCTCCCTTTTTCTTTAGATACTGAATTACACCAAATTTCGTTGTGCCTTCGTTGTGAAATGAATTGTTTGAAAATGTTGAACAAAAGTTGTACGTTCAAGATCGAACGAATATCGATGGTATTTCGGGTTCACGAAACTCATTGTTCGAATTATGCGTTCGATGAAAATATTAAATAAGTTTTATACTTCTAATTCTCAAGCATTCGTTATAATTGGAAGGTAATCCTCCCTTTTTCTTTAGATACTGAATTACACCAAATTTCGTTGTGCCTTCGTTGTGAAATGAATTGTTTGAAAATGTTGAACAAAAGTTGTACGTTCAAGATCGAACGAATATCGATGGTATTTCGGGTTCGCGAAACTCATTGTTCGAATTATGCGTTCGATGAAAATATTAAATAAGTTTTATACTTTTAATTCTCAAGCGTCCGTTATAATTGGAAGGTAATCCTCCCTTTTCCTTTAGATACTGAATTACATCAAATTTCTGTGTGTCTTCGATTTAAAATGAATTGTTGAAAAATGTAATTTCGCAACTAATATGTAATTAGTCGATTCTCGCAGCTTCGAAATTATTTGAAAATTTTTGGGAAGTATTTATCATGAACTGTGTCAAAGAAATTGTAATTCATTACGAAGAAGCCCTGTGAATTGGCAAAATGTCTAATGTTCGATTCAATGTATTTTTCAATTTCAAATAATATATAAAATAAATATAATATATTTAATAAATAATATTAAAATAAATATAATGAAAGCAAAAAGGATACTGTAGATCACAGTGAACAAATTGTTTCTATTTGAGAAATAAATAATTACAATTCCAGTTGAAAAAAGACCTCTACACCATACCGATCGCAATAAATTCAGTTGACTCGTGTCGAATTCAATACAAAAAATATACGGCCGACGAAAATGAATAAAATTAAAAAAATCCATGTTGCAAAATAAATGTGAGTTCAGTTTACGTTAGATATAAAGCAAAAAGAAATTTTCGTCACCGATCGCCAAAGGGAGTACAATCAGAACTCCGCAGATGGAAACGTGTGAAAGTAATTGTCGGATGAACCTTGGCAATGGACTCGGACGAAAAAGAAGACGGGAAAGAGGGTGGAATAAGAGACTGGAAAAACGAGGAATAGCTAAGTACAGTAAGAAAGAGGATAACGATGCGAGAAACTGGAGGATTTGTCGAATTCGCAGACAGCTAAAAAGTCGGTAAATAACGATCCGTAATCGAGTCCGTCGCTGAAACGGGGAAACATTCAGCCCAATTACGGAAGCGTCGTAGACGATTGAATTAACTGCATCCAGCGCATTTCAGGGAGATTGAACTGGCTATATCGTTTCGTTAGTATTTAATTAAAAGCTTTTTAATCCTGTCGTCGGATCCGCCATCTGGAATTTAATTACTTTTCAGATAGCATGAAGTTTCACGGCGTTCCCGTCTTTTCTCTCGAGATTCTTTCGGATGATTTTAACGCTAGATTCACGGAGACCCGTCGGGAATGTGTGAAACCGGTCATTTTGACAGAAACGATCGGCGCCGATCCAATTCCAATTAGAATGTTTAATCTCGTTTTTAGCAACAACGTGGAACAAATATTTTGTTCCGTTGCTTCTGCCGGATAATCGAGAAGGTTATGTATAGCGATTTTGGACTCCCGTTTCGCGCATCAGAGTGAATTCAATTTTTCAATAAATTGTTAATTCGTAGTTATTCAAGTTATAAAAATTGTTAGCATCTGTATAAAACATTCGGACGATTTATTCGGCATTTACGATTATTCGGATTATAATGAGAAATTTCGGAATAAATAAATATTTGAATAAATATATTTTTGCTACTTTTTTATATTACTCGTGCTGGAGCAATTATATTCGACACCATGCTTCTCACGATTATTATAAAACGTGGATTGAACTATTTTTTTTCGAGTCACTTACTTTTCTTGCGTATGCTCCGCCTGTCGGAATGCCTCTTTACTCCGGTCATTTTGTTTATCTGCTGCTTTCGAAATTTTCTTTTTATTTCACCGTCTTCGACGATAATTTGTCACTTCGAATTTTAGAATTTTGAGAAACTTGATTTAGAGGAACACGATCGGCTGCTGCCGATCTGTTCGAGTCTTCCCTCCTTCCTCTGTTTCTGAAAACAACAAATTCACGAATTAGTTGTTCATTTTTCTTTTGCGCGGGTCATGCAGGTAGAGTAGGTACTGACAACATTTCTCGTTTCCATTTGCCTCGGATCGATTTATTCTTCGATCAATCGAACGTAAACTTTTTGGTAAACGTTCCAATTGTTATGAACCGAAAAAGAAGCTGCGCGACGGATTGAATTTCATTTAATCGTCGGACTGAAATATTAACATCAGTTCTTGAACATTTTCATTCGTCCACGGTAAATATTTATATTTTCAGCAACTGGATATTTTTCTTCCTTAAAATTTCATCCGAAGCTGTTAATATAATGAACCGATAAGTATTTATTTTCTTGTATTTATTGCTTGCTATTTAATTACAATTTCTGCACAAACCGATAATCTGTCATCCGACATCTTTGACCTTGCGAAACAACGCATGAATGTCCCAAAAAGTTTGTTACAATTTTCATCTCCCTTGCAATGCAACGAGCTCCCGTTCTTTATACAGTGTGTCCCAAAAGTGTCGCGCAATCCGAAAGTATCGGGTTCCTCAGGTCATTTGAAGCAACTTTTTCCTTCACAAAAATTTTCTCCCAGGCACCATTAACCTTTTAGGTACAGCTGAATTCTGCGCGAGGCTATTTCTCTGGACGGCAAAGTCTGATGTGTACTGTACAGAGTCTGATACTGTATATACAGGGTGTCCCAAAAATGTCTCGCAATCCGAAAGTGGCGAGCTACTCAGGCCATTTATTGCAACTTTTTCCTTTACAAAAATTTTCTCCGAGGCACCGTTAACGAGTTATTAACGAAAAACAGTGACCAATGAGAGGCGAGCTCGGCTGGCGCGAGGCGACCGAGCCAATGAGCGGAACTGGGCTTCGTGCGCTGGTTGGCTGGGCCGCCTCGCGTCAGCCGTACTCGATTCTTATTGGTCACCGTTTTTCGTTAATAACTCGTTAACGGTGCCTCGGAGAAAATTTTTGTAAAGGAAGAAGCTGCTTCAAATGATCCGAGGAATCCGCCATTTCCGGATTGCGAGACATTTTTGGGACACCCTGTATTCGGAAAAATCGATGTATGCACAAAGGTTCGCAATTCGTTCGATAACCAATCCACCGAAACAGACACCGTTCTAAATTCCAAGGGTCTAAAAAAATCTCCTTTATTTCCTTCCACTCCTCCAGTCCCGCTATACAATCGAAGTTACAAAATTTCTCAAAATGTACAAAATGATATAACGTATCGAAACGAGAGTAAAGTGTGCAGTAACAAAATGAAGCCACTAGTGTACATCCTCGACCGGAATTTTCTCTTTCTCGTCGTTGTTCGGCAATTCCATCTGTTCGACAACTTCCCGCGTCGGACTCGCCGGATTTTCATTGCCATCCTCGTGATCGCACCCTTCGCTGGATCCCGACTTCCGTCGTTCGGTCACGGTCGCCTGATTCGCATCGTTATCGCTGGACTTCGTACTGTTATCGTCCTCGTCCGTTAAATCCTCTTGACTCTTCGAATAATCATCCTTCGCTACTTTGGCCGCGTACGGGGATTTGGTGCCCGAAGTTCGGCGAGCTTGCCGTTGTTCCACTGCCTCGTCTTTGTACCCGGTAGCTCGCTTTCTTCTGCTTCTCTGCTCGGCTCTTTTGCCAGCGGATTTACGCTGCGGCGCATGCTCCCTGAAATCCATCCGGTAACTTACGATACGGGAAATTTATTATACGGTTGACATTTTATTTGTATTTCTACGAGTTCGTTTTCGTCCCGAACAAAATCGAAATTGGTCGCGTCGTTTACGTGTAACCGAGATTGGACGAACATGTACAATAATTTCTCCCTAATTCGCGCTCAGATTGCGCACGAACATGGACAACTTGGATAGCGGAGATACGATTTATAATGACTGATTGTCGACAACTATAAAAACTAGACGCGAGCCTCGAATAATCGTATCTCCTCTTCCCAAATTGTCCATTTTTTGTGCGCAATCTGAGCGCGGATTAGGGAAAAATTGCTGTGTTTCTTCTGGAAACACAATCTCAATTGGATGAGAATGAACGCGACAACGTGAAAGCATTGTTTTCGGAGGAAACGTCCAAGGAATCATCTATCGCTAGAGTTATTATTGTAATTGGCCGGAAGCTCGATTAGAACGAGCACAAAAGAAATTCAATAAATGAGGAGAACGTTGGAGAAATTCAATAAGAGAGAATATTGAGCAAGAGGTCGATCAGAACGGTCTTGAAATACATTTCATGAGAACGAACATCCAACAAATCCGACGAGCACGAATGTGGAAAAAATCCGATTGGAACGAATATTTTAAAAATTCGTTAAAAAATGAAGCAGTATAAAAATTGAATATGAACGAACATTATAAAAAATTGAACACAAAATAAATTTGGTAATAACGAACATGAAATACATTCGACAATGAAACACATTCGACGAGACTGGCCACAAAACAAATGCGATAAGAACAAAGGACAAGTTCGATACAAAAAAAAGCATTAAATAATATGGTTTATATCGGATGCTAGAGAATCGAACAGTGCACGAACTTCTTGTTGTTCCCATGCAAGTCGCGGGGAGCAAGCAGCGCGTTCTTCTTTCTCGAGCTCGCGTAATTCGATTGATAGTGCGGAGACGGTTTCTTCGCCGCAGAGGACTTCATGCGTTTTCGAGGCACCATCCGTTCCAAGGACGTGTCGCGACGCGGTTTCCTTTTGGTGGTCAAGGGCGGGGTTGGCCGACGTCGCTGTTCCTTGTGTTCGACGAACGGCAAATCCTCTTGGCCTTGTCTGGCCCTCCGCCGTCTTCTACGTGACTCTGGATCGCTTCTTCTCGACTCGACCAACGTCGGTGCCACGCGGATTATCTGGCCCTGAGGATCCGTCGGGATCAAGTATCCGGATTTCACGCCGAACGAGAGCGCCTTGCGTATGTACCTCTTTGCGTACCTTTTGCCTAAGATGCAACGTTGACTTTAGTCTATGATCTCAGTTGGTGTCTCTTGGTAGTGAAACTTCTGCTAGGAGATACTAAATTGTCGGCTGTAGCACAGTTTATCTTATTCTACAGGGTGTCCCAAATTGCATATGTATAGAATTGTATGTATAAGCGAGATAATATAGAATTGTTCGGACAGTTCACTACTTATTAAACCATTTATATCGTTATCGTTATTAGATAAACGTAAGAGCAAATTTCTTGTAAAGTGCGTCGGGCATTTAAGAGAAAAATGATTAATGTTGATTTTTCCTAACGGAATTTAAAAATAAAGATGGAGATCGTTAAGAGAACGATGAAAAGTCTTCCTTGGTTTCCTTTTACCAATACATTGATAACAATGTCTAACAATGTCAACAACTAAGATGGCACTCAGGGTAATCGAAAAGATTCAATTTCCAAGTATTAATTTCAGAAAAATCGTCTTACGATTTTGCAGCAGTTTCGCTACCAATTTAGCATTTTAAAGATGGCAAAGAAGCTTGCAGCGAAGAAGCTTGCTTGTGGCGAAGCAGTTTGTCGGTGGTTGACAGTGTACCTTCTTCGATGCCAGCCTTGATGTAGTTGTTGATGATCTGCACGAGGGACTTCTTTTTGAGCAACGCCCTCGTGTTATCGATCGAGTTCGAAAAAGTGATCGGCTCTATGGAGATATTCGATACGCTGCTGTTCCCGGAGCCGGATGCCCAGGAGCTATTTCCGACCTCCATCACCCTCGACATGTTCTCCATGGACGTTGCTCCCGATTTTGTGTACTCGGTCCCGCTCGCGGACACCGAGCTTTCGTGGACGAACGAGGTGTCGTCCGATAGCTCACCGAGATCTTGATACTTCCGTATTATCTCGCGGTACAGGGCCCTGTCCTTCGACGGCTTTACTCCCCTCTGGTTGGATATCATCCCTGTCGGGGGCAATCAAAATCTCAATTACCGGCTTCCCTTTACCTCCGCGCGAAACTCGCCGTTTTTCTACATTTAAGGTTAAGGGTGAAACATGTTCTCGAACGTTTCTTCCTATTTTGCGAATTTTCTAAACACGTACGCGCGTGATTCATCGGAGCTTCCTTAATTTTATCGTATTTAACTTCATAAATAATTCGTTCGCTGAAAGATTTCTGCGTAGTAAAGATAAAATGAGAATGCTTGAGCTGTACAAGTTACGCGACCGTATATATTGGGTTGGCAACTGAGTAATTGCCGATTTCAGTTATAGATGTGTCTCACTCCCATTTTTATGATATCCGTAAATGTTCTATTATAAAATTATTATTTTTATTATTATGTTATTTTTTATTATCCGTGAATGTTAGCAACTGGACAAATTGAATGCAGCGGTCAAGGAAAAGCGACCAGAATTGGTCGATCGTAAAGGTGTCATTTTCCAGCAGGACAATGCTAGGCCGCACACGTCTTTGTCCACTCGGCAAAAATTGATGGATATTGGTTCGGAATTGTTGTTACACCCACCATATAGCCCTGATCTCGCGCCATCGGATTACCACTTGTTTCGATCCCTGGACAACTCCCTTCGTGGTAAAACTTTTAATGATGATGGCGCTGTAAAATCTCGCTTAACTCAGTTTTTGGCCGAAAAGGATCAGACTTTCTACGAGCGTGGAATTTTCAAGTTGTCGGAGAGATGGCAAAAGGTCATCGAACAAAATGGAAGATACATTACAGATTAAACTTCATTCCAAGTGAAAAAAAATTTTTTATCTCATTGAACAAATCGGCAATTACTTAGT